CGCCTTGGACGCCTTCAAACGCTGCAGCATGAACGCATAAGGATCTGCCTGGCTGGCCGTGGCCCCACATCCCCCAAGCTAGCAGGCCATGTCAAGGCTGTCGAATCTCCAGCAGAAATGAGGCATGCTTTCAATGGCGCCGGACTGGCGGGTTGGTCTCGGAGAAGTTCTGAGAGTAGAGCCTGGCACTCATGTTTGGCCGGCTGTGTCAGGACATGTCAGGACACATCTGCCATACCAGTGACACCTTGTCTGCCAGGCAAGGCAGTATATATGCCGAGCACTCGCGCTCTTGCCAAATTATTGGCTACAGACTGTGGCAGCGGCCACAGGAACACCGCCTTAAAGCACACCTAAAGCACACAGCAGCCCCGAAAGCGAGAAAAGTGAGTTGAGGCAGTTGAGGTAGCAGGGACATACAGATGAACTTGGACCTGTTGCTCTCGTGGCTACTCTCTCCACCTTTCAGCTTGCACCATTCATCGCGACTCGAGCGTCAGTCTTATCCGACTGGGCCACATTTTGCAGCTTGCACTTCTGGCTACTTCCGACATTAGGCTGACATACTTGCCCTGGCCCTTCAACCCTCCTCTCCGCACCTGCCTGGACGGTTTCGCGTGCCTGCTCCTTCACAGTAGGTAGGAGAAGTCACGAACAAGATATGATCAGATGGCGGGGTCATGTCAGGTCATGCCGCTGGCAGCGGCACGAAAACAGAAAATCGCAGGTGCACTTCCAAGAGCTGCTGTACAACTGGCAGAGTCCTGCATTTTCTTAGCGCCATCGTCCATTTCTCCCGACTTGGTCGGAAGAGGCTTTGTCCTTCAGTCTTACGCATATTGCGCATTACTACTTTCGTTTGCTGGCAGTACCACAACAGATCAACAGATTAGAACGATACCTGCCGACAGATTCGTGCGGAGTGCGGCCCAGCAGCTGCACGAGAAGCTCGCTTGTCGTTCCGTCCGGTTTGACCACAGGCACCTTCATCTTCCCTCCGCCTTCCTCGGGCGGCGCGAGCAGACGCTGTCGTTTTCTTAGGGACAGCGCACAAAGTTAAAACAGCTCAGCGGACCTCTGCGGTCTTTGGCACAGGAAGTTCGCCACTACCCATGCTCTTCAGCACGCTGACCTCGTCGGTTGGATCAGTGTCTTCGATAGATTGGAAAACAGAGTGGCAACCACACAGCGCCAATGTGACGAGTCTGCTCCATTGAGACGCCAGCTGAGCATGTGGTGGGTCCAGATGTTGACATCAGCACGGTGCAGGGATGCCCCACCTGTCAGACAAGCCGTGCTCTTGCAGGAAGCGGAGAAGCGAAGTCCCCCACGCAGCCTCCATCTTGTTCTGCTTCCTCTCTGAGCCCACCTGCGACGCATCGGGA